AGGGGTGTGTGGCGGGCTCCCCGGCGTGTGCGCCTCCCTGGCTTGTCTGAAGCTGCCCCAGAAAGCGCCTCCTGCTCTCCGCCCCCCCCCCCCCTTCCCTAGCGGGGGTCATCCCCGAGGCCCCTGCGGGTCTTTTCCCCACACAGGGCTCTGCCCGTAGTGCCAGCGGTGCCCTCGTGCGTCCGTCCCTGCACATGCCGACAGCAGGGAGAAGGTGGTATCTGGAGGGTGGGTCACCGGGCTCTCCAGCTGAGGGCGCGGGAGCCCACCCCTGGAGACCTAGCCGGGGTGGGGTGGGGTGGTTCTGGGCCCCCCCCCCCCCCCGCAGGGTGTCAGACTCACTAGGTGTTCCCTGGCCTCCCTGAGACCCTGGCGAAGAGCTGGGTGGGAGCTCGAGGGGACTCCTAGGCCGCCCAGAGCAGGTGCGGGCTCAGCGTGTGGACTCTTGCTCCGTTGGATGCACGGAGCTGGGAACCCCTGGTTGCCGTTCCCAGCACCCGTGCCGGTCAGAAACTGCGCTCGCCAGGCCAGGGATCAGTCACGGCATCTTGCGTTTATTGGGAATCCGCCACGTTCTGCGGGAAATCAAAGAGTTTGGCAGCCTCTCAGAAGTCCGTTGCTTCCTTATCGGTTGTCTGGGGAGGGACAGTTTTGTGCTGAGGGGCCCGTCCTGCTTCTTGAGTGCAGTGTGCACAGCAGCGCGCACCCGTGAGCAGTGACCTAGGGCTCCACCCGTGTTCCTGGTTTGGGGACGTGCTTCAATCCTGTGGAAAAGCCTTTCCGAAGGCTCTTGTGCCCCCGGATCTCTGGGCCGTGTTTGGAACTTTACGCGCAGCTGTAATTCTTTTACGATAAACGGGGTCTTTAAAAACAGGCCGTTTCAGTAGCTCCCCCAGCTGGTGTAGGAAAGAGGCTGCCCGGTCGTTGGGCTGTGGCAGCGAGGAGCAGCAGCTGTGGGCAGGACCCCGGACCTGGGCCCCCGCCTTGGCTGGCCCTCCTCTGTCCCAGGCCCTCTGCTTGCCAGCCGGAGCAGCTGGGAGAAGCGTCGTAAGGCACGCGGTTCGGTTCTGAGGTCTGCGAAGGACTGGCACAGCGCGGGTGGGGGCAGAGTCCTCCTCTGGGCTTCGGGCCTGGCCCCGACCCCGCCGCCACGCCCAGGTCCGGGTGCGGGGACACCCGTCCGCCCTCCGCTAGTCCACTACGAGCCACTGGAGGAGTCAGCGGCCTCTGAACCCACCGCCCAGGTGACGCCCTTGCCCTGGGGAAACCGGCTTCCGTGGGGGTGTCGCCGCAGTGTGAGGGCGTGGGAGCCGGCGGCCCGGTGGAGCGGTGGAGCGGCAGGCTGCATTCCACGCCGCCCTTCGCGTCAGCGGGCGGGGAGGTGCCCCGGGCTGCTTTCCGGAGGGGAGAGCAGCAGGGCTAGGGGCCGGGGCCAGCGGGTCTCCCCCAGCCTCGGTGGGGCCGCAGGGGTGCAGCGTGGGGACCGTGGCCCCGTACGTGGAGTCCGTGTCTCCCTCCAGAGAGCGCGGGAGGTCCGTGAGCACCGAGATCTGTCAGAAGCTACTAGCAAGCCGGTTGGGGGGCGGTGCTCCCCGCCTGCTTATATTTCAGACCAATCAGCCACCACGTGCGGCCACTGGAATTGGCCCGACTGGTTGTTGGGGAAAAGACCTAAAGTTCAGCAGCCTGAACCGACCGTAGCCCTGGCCGAGGAGCCAAGGCCTCCAAGGGAGATTGAGAGAATTCAGTTTTAGGTGTGCAGGCTGTGCGTGGGGGGTGGGTGGGGGTAGCTGGTGGGCACTGGGGGGCTGGAGGGCTAGGCCGTGACACCCCCCCCCCGCCCCCGCCATGCCAGGTACTTGGTCAGCTGCAAGAGAGGGAGGGAGCAGCACCTTTGGACAGGTCACCCTGCAGGGGACGGACACCGTCCCCTCCTCTCGCCTCGTCCGTCCTTGGGTCTGCAGAAAAGCTGGAGTGGCCGGTGCTCCCCGCCGGGCGGATCTGCGCGTAGGGCTTGAGGTGCCGTCGTCCTCACCTACGTCTCCGCTCCGACAGAGGCAGGCCTGCTGCCGTCCCCGAGGACGCCGCACCTCTGCCTCTCGCCCAGACCTCACAGCCAGGAGCACGGCCAGAGAGCCCTGTTTGGTCACTTGTGTCCCCGGGAACGATGACGGGAGCGGCGCCACCCCTCAGGACCCCGGGGTAGGCAGGCCAGAGAGCAAGTCAGGGCTGCAGAGCCCTGGCCCGGTTCTCATCCAGGATCAGCGGGGATGGGAACTCCCGGCCTTGCAGATACGCCTCCAGAGCCTGGAAACAAGGATGTCAGCATGTCCACACGTTAACCTCTGTCCCCAGGTGGGGTCCATATTCTGCCTTGAGCCCGTGTGGGGTAGGGCCAGACTCGCTCCCAGCACTAAGGGTCGGATGCCACTTGCAGACCCAGGCCCTCTTGAGCCCAGATCTTCTCAAAGGGTCCGCGCCAGCATTCATTCCTTGCAAGGCTCCCATAAAGCCTGGCTGGAACCCTAGCCTCTGGCCTCACCTGGTATCCTCCTGGCCTCTCCTGGTCCTTGGAGGCCTCCTGATGGCCTCACCTACCCTACGTCCTAGAAGATCCTCTGTATCTGAAGAACTATTTGTCTCATCGGTAACGTGAGACAGAGCTGTGACTTTCTGCCCCAGCATCCACCACTCCCCAGCCCTCCTCCCAATCATGCATCCCTACCCCAGAAAAGACCTGAATGAGCCAGTCAACTCTCACCTCTCCAGAGTATGATACCAAAGGCGAGATCTCACAGATGGCAGGAGGCTCTCCGCTGCTGGGCGAGCTGTGGGAGCCCATGTATCAGCACCTGCTCCAGGGTGTGTGCCCTGGGGCTGGCCTTGCCTGGCCCAGCTCCCATAGATCTTTTCTCAGCAACACTCCCTTCCACGGCACCCCCAGAGCCCTCGGCAAACTGCCCCTGACTTGAGTGATCAGCTCTGATGTGGGCTGGAAGACACCCCCCCAGCCCTGCAGGTACCCTGCACAGGTCCCCCTGAGCAGCGCGATTTAGGTGGTGGCTCTGTTGTTTCCTTTTCCAGTCCCGAAACGTGACCTGCATTGCTGTTTTTCTACACGTCACGCCTAGGTCTTGCTTTCAGAGCTTACAGATGAGTCAGGAAGGCTGGCAGCCACCCACCTTCCCCAAGGCCCTGAGCAGACCTTGAGGAGTTGGGCTCAAAGCTGCAGGCAGTCACTGTATGGCTGGGCCGGGTGCGTGGCCACCCATACTCAGCGTGGTGCTGGAGCCCAAGCTCCCAGCACAGCTCAGACAGCAGTGGAGCCGGCAAGGGTGGGGAGCTGGACCCTGGCACCCTTGTCCTTTGAGGAGCATGCTGACGGGCACACTCACCTGGGCAGCTCAGGGAGCCGCGCCCCACACGCGTCCAGAAAGTGGGCCCCTGCCTGCAGGGCCCAGCGGTAATGCTGTAGGAGCAGGGCGCACCGAGTCGTGGTGGGGTTGTCGCTAGCAGCCGAGGCAGCATTCTTCAGAGGAGAAAACTCCTCCTCCCGAGACACTTCGAAGGCCACGAAGTTCCTGTGTGGACGACAGCTGGTGACCAGATGTCCTGACCCAGAGGCCCTGGTCCTGGGCAGGCAGAGCCTGCACCGGGCTCACGACGACTAAATGGTGGTCTGTTCCACGCAGGAGGCCCCACAGTCACTGCGTGTGTCTTTGTTTCTGAGATCCCTGGGGCTGCCTGATTCCCCCCCTCCACCCCATTCCCACCTGCCAAACCCACAGACCCTGAGGCCCCAGATTGAGGGCCAAGTCCCCTGGGAGTCCCCCCCCCCCCCCACCCCCCCCCCCCCCGCCCGGGAACAGCCTCCTAACCCCGGCCAGGAGCAGACGGAAGGCTCAGGAGTGGCAGGGGTGGCCCCCAAAGCACAGCCCCCAAGACTCCAACTACTCCAGATCTCACCCTGCTCACACTGCAGGGGTAGTGTGAGCCCCCTTCTCCTGCCCCCTTCTGGAGCCCGCCTACAGCCCCTGGCCCCCCACTGCAAAGGTGCATCCCCACTGTCCCCCACAAGCCTCCACTTCCCAGCCCAACTAGGTCTCAGAACCCACCACCAAAACAAGGAGAAGATAGAAAGAAAAAAATAAGCGACTTTTGCCACTAACTTAGCGAACGGGAATACATCAAACACAAACTTCTCCAGCTTTATCCCATTTGGTTTTAGCGGCTTTACCAGATTTCCCTCCTCATCCACGTACGGGACCTTCTTCACAGCCACGTGTGGCTTCAGCAAGGGCTCAAACTCACTTGGGGGGGGGGGAGACAGGAGAACAAAAGAAGGAAAGACACGGTTCAGACGGGACACCCCTGGGAGCCCCCTCCCCACCTCTCTGCACACCTGGCCAGGCAGGATGGGCTGACAGACGGACACCGCAGGGCACAGGAGCCCCGGGAGCTGAGCCCTGTCTCCGGAAGGACACAGGCACCCTCTTACGCTCCCCAGCCCGCGAGAGAGACTGGCACCACTGGCCACATCCCCGCCCAGGTGAAATGGCAGCTGGCAAGTCGCAGGGCAGAGGTGGGGCCTGAGGCCACAGCCACCGTGTGGGGAGGAAGAGCAGGCCAACCGGGCCCCAGAGCCTTATAGCAGCTGCTAGAGGTCTGGTGGCGTTGGCCGACTTAAATGCACCCCAACCCAGGCTGGCCCCTGACCGCAGCCCCACTGGGCTCAGGCCAGCCTCCCTGGCCAGCACCTTTGGCCACCTGCTGAGCACACCTGACGACAGCCCGGAGGAAGCCTCGAGTGAAAAAGTGGTTGCAGATGTTGCCCAGGTGGTAGAGGAGGCTCCCATCGGGCCCGCGAAGCCGTGCGGTCTCGGGGCTGATCTCGCTGTACTCCACCACCTGAGGGACTCCGTCCACCTGGCACACCACCCCCACCGGCTCCTCCGGGGACGCCTTTTCCACCACCTGCAGCCGAGGCAGAGACAGGAAAGGCTGGCGGGGGCGGGGCCGGGGGCGGGGCGAGGCAGGCAGCCGGGCAGTGGGCGGGGAGGCTCACCTTGGCCCCACAGTCTGCGCCGCGCAGCACGCAAAAGCCGACGAAGACAGGGTCAGCCAGCCGCACGAGAATGTTGTCCACACAGTACACGTGCACAAACTCCACTCCCCGACGCTCCATGTCCTCTAGAATCTGGTGGTCTGACAGTGCGCGGTACAGCCCTCCGTTGCCATCTGCCAAGGGAGAAAGGGACCAGTCCCCGGGGCTTCAGCCATCCAGTCCAGAGCCTGCTGGAGGCAGGAGAGGCCCCTGGGGCTGGACCTTGTACCTGAGGCAGCTCTGTGTCACTATCCAAGTAGCCCTATGGCTGTGTCATGCGACACATGGGAATCAAGGCCCAGAGAGAGGAGGCCAGTCGCCCAGGACCACACAGCCTTCTAGCATAACGTTCTGGCCGCGTGCAGCCCTCCTGACCTCCGATTAGCTCCTTGTTCTAGACCAGGCAGCGCTTCCCTGACTCAGGGGCGGGGCATACCTGGGGCCATGGCAACCTTGTCTTTCTTCTCCAGGATGGCCCTGCCATCAAAGGTCACAGCAGGCAGCATGCGCTGCTCAAACATGATCACGTTGTTGGGGTCCAGGTGGAAGAAGTCGTGCTCCTTGAAGAACCTGGCGGTGGGCTCCAGCGTGAACTCACTTGTCATGATGTACCTGCGAGGAGAGGCAGGGCTGAGCAGGCCCTTGGAAGGGCCCGGCCGCTCGGGGATCCAGGGCTGCGATAGGGGCTGGCCTCGGAGTCCGGGCTGGGGCTGGGGGTTGGGACTCGAGTCTTGGTGTGGGGCAGGGCTGATGCTGCGTGGGCAGGGGATCATTCTGGGGACAGGGTGAGGAGGGAAAGGCACACCAGGGTATGGCACACTGGGTCCCGCTGCGCTCGCCGGCCAGCTGCTCCACCCGCCGAATCCGTTCTGCCTGCAGCTGGTACAGGCTCTTCCCGCTGGGCAGCCCCACCTGATACATGCCCTTGGGGTAGGTCACGCCTAGGCGCGTGCCCTGCCCACCAGCCAGCAGCAGCACAGCCACCTTGCTCAGGGCGATCTGGTGGAAACCTGGGGGCAGAGGGTGCCGTGAGGGGACCCCTGGGACCTGCCATATAACCACCCCCTCACTTCAGAGCAAGCCAGACGTGCGCCCAGGACTCTAAAACTTCTGAGAGCCACAGAACAGAGATCTCCAAACAACATTCCGACCTCATGTGGGCCAGGGCCCCATCCAAATCTGACCTTGTCCAGACCCATCAGAGGTCCTGATGATGTCCTCCAGGGCTTATTCCCAGCCTGGGTCCTTCAGAGGGAACACCAGGTCAGACTGGTCAGAGCAGTCCGGCGGGGGCCCTGGGCAGCTTCCCTCCAGGAGCACCTGCCTCACCCGTAAGGCCAAGAAGCCAAGAGTGCACCCGGGGCCAGCGCGCTTGTGAAACGGAGCGTGTACAAATGTGCAAGGGGTTCCCTGCTGTCAGTAGGCTTGTGGCCTGGGCAGCTGACCATCCAGGTGTGCGCCTGCACAAAGCACTCGCTGGAGGGGGAAGCCGCCTGAGGGCGGCTGCCACCTTCGCAGCTTTTGGAGCCCTACACCTGAGTCGCGAGCTGGCGTGTGAACGGAGAGCCCACAAAGGAACGAGGCGCGCCAAACTCCTCCAAGTACAAGCTCTCCTGTCACCCCACTTTGGGCAAGGCCCCCTGCGCCGGCCAGGCCCACCCCGACCGGGGACCCCCGCCCCGCCTACCTTCCTCCTCCCAGAGCCGCCGCGTCTCAGGGTCGCACCGGCTCGCGCTGCCCACGCGCTCAGGGGGCAGGGGCCG